GGAATCAAACCAGTGCCCTTTGGTTCAGAAGCTGGCAATCAATCCACTGAACCACACCAGCTAGGCCTAAGTCAAAACATTTTAATCCTCCCCACAAAAAGGAAAAAAGAAAGGACATGTAATAGCAATTATTGCAGTCCTTAAGACATATGTGTTGACTTTTGGTCAAGATGGTGGCATAGGCAGACATGGATCACCTCTTCTCAGAACCATATCAAAATTACAACTAAAATATAAAACAACCATCACTCAGAGCCAGCAGAAATCAAGTTGAATGGAAATCTGACAACTATGGAATTAAAGAGACCACGTCCATCCAGAATGGTAGGAGGCACACAAATGCAGAAAGATCCAGTCCCTCAATCCATGTGTGATGGATAAAAATTCAGGAGGGATATATCAGGAGCAAGGAGTACCAGTCTTATACAAGGCCCCCTAGCCCCACGTTCCAGTGTCAGGAAGATAATCCTCCTCAACTGCTGGCTGCAAAACCAGTGGAGATTGGTTGGTATAAGAAAGTGCTGGATCCCCAAGCAGTCCCTCTTAGAGAACCTGCACATGGACTTATCTACTCAGACTCGGTCCCTATGAGCTTCAGAACCAGGGTACCAGCTTGAAAGACACCAGTGGTATACAAGGAGAAACTGAAGTGTCTGGAATCAAGGCAACCAGCAGCCACTGTCTCCTTTCTAAACACTGTCCCCACAAAGATGGCAGCCTAGTGTCATATCTGAGTCCATATCAACCTGGCTAACACAGTTTGACTCACCTTGGAGATCCCAAGAGACTCTGCCCCACCCAACTAACCAGCTCACCCAAGCTACTTTTCCATATGAATGGCTGGTCTTGACTCATGCTTCACAACTTCCTAAATCCTATCAAACAAGCAACAGTTGGCCCAGGCAGCATGCCAGCCTAGATTCACAGCTTGCTTTGCCTGGAAATCTTCAAGCCCAGCACAAATAGCAGCTATCTCAGATCACTTTATAGCTCAGGCAAGGTGGCCCTGGCCAAAACACAGGTGTGGTGGGGGCTGACCTGCATCACCTGGGAAACCCAAGGGCCAGTGCACCCAGTAGACAGCTACAGACGATATTGGAGCACCACCACCCTGCCCCTGCACAGCCAATCCTCCACAGTGAGCAGAGGATGGTGATAAATGGTCGTAGTCAATCCTTGCAGCTAACTGGCCTGGATAAATCCCTCCCATTGATCTGCCAATAGCAACCAAGGCTAAACTACAAGAAGAGGATATACTCAGCCCAGACAAAGGGTGCACCTCGAATATCCAGCTTGGGGAATAGGGGAGGCTGTGCTACTGGACCCTAGAAGACATCTACTACATTATGCCACACTACCAAGTTATGGAGTCAAAGCAGCTCTACTTAATACATAGAAACAAACACAGGAAGGTTGCCAAAATGAGGAGACAAAGAAACATGGCCTAGATGAAAGAACAGATCAAAACTCCAGAAAAAGAACCAAACTAAATAGAGATAGGCAATCTATCTATGCAGAGTTCAAAACACTGGTTATAAGGATGCTGAAGGAATTTAGTTATGACCTCAACAGCATAAAAAAGATTCAGTCAGAAATAAAGGATATGCTAATTGAAATAAACAATTTACAGGAAAACAACAGTAGAATGGAAAAAGCCAACAATCAAGTCAATGATATGGAACATAAGGGAGCAAAAAACAACCAATCAGAACAAAAAGAAGAAAAAAAATCAGGATAGTATAAGCACTCTCTAGGACAACTTCAAAAGGTCTAACATACATAGGAGTACCCAAAGGAAAAGAGAAAGAACAATAAATTGGAAACCTATTTGAAAAAATAATGAAAGAAAACTCCTCTAATTTAATGAAGGAAATAGACGTGCAAGTCGCGGAATTACAGAGTCCCAGATAAGATGGATGCAAAGAGGCCCACTCCAAGACCCATCATAATTAAAACACCAAAGGTTAAAGACAAAGAGAGAATCTAAAAAGCAGTAAGTGAAATAAGTTTGTTACCTATAGGGTAGTTCCCATAAGACTGTCAGCTGACTTCTCAAGGGAAACTTTGCAGGCTAGAAGGGATTGGCAAGAAATATTCAAAGTTATGAAAAGCAGAGCCCTACAGCCAAGATTGGTCCACCCAGCAAAGCTATCATTTAGAATCAAAGGGCAGATAAAGAGCTTCCCAGACAATAAAAATCTCAAGAAGTTAATCATCACCGATCCATTATTATATGTCAAAAGGACTTATTTAAGAAAAAGAAGATCAGAACTATGAACAACCAAATAGCAATATTTGAGTCGTTGAAATTGTTGAATTAGAATCAACAATTGAATCTACAAAACAAACTAAGCAAACAAGAACAGAGACAGAATCATGGATATGGACAGTGTTTTGATGGTTGCCCGATGGTAAAGGAGTGTGGGAAAATGAATGGGTAAAGAGGTGAGGGGATTAAGAAATACAAATAGGTAGTTACAGAGTAGCTATGGGGATGTAAAGCACAGTATAGGAAATGGAATAGCCAAAGCACTTAAATGCATGTCCCGTGGATATAAACAATGGTTGGGGGGTGGTTGCCTGAGGGAGTAGGTGGTGCTAGGTGGAGTGGGGCAAGGGGAAAAATCAGGACAACTGTGAAAACATAATCAATAAAATATTTTTTAAAAGACATATGTATTAACCAAGGACTGAGCTCATGAGCTAATCAATCATTGAGAAACTATTCATTTACATAAGCTTAATTTTCAATGTCTATATGGGATGAATTAAAAATTTATTTTCTATGTTTACCCTCATTTATTCCTTTTCCTTATCCTATTCTCCTTTGTATCTGATAAGGGTGAAGGCTAATCCCAACAGCTCTCTTTCACGACGTCCTGAGTCAGTCATCTTTCAGCAGATCAGCCAATGAGAGGCATTGATGGGAGTTTGTAAGGCATGAGGAAAGGAGAAGCCCCAATGTCTCTTCCCCTTCCTCTCTGATTCAATTGGCAAATTTGACAGCACATTGCCTTTTTGTGACTCCATCTTCTACCTGAAAGGTCATTCAGGCTTCCAGCTACCACCAGGAAAATGCCAGCTCCGACACTCTAGTAGCCCACCGTTTTACCTTGACCCTTCAGTCTAGAGATGAGGGCAGCTTCCTACTACTGCCCATCCCTGGAAGGATTAACCACCTCCATGGCCTTCTCTGTTCCCCCATCACCTAAGTAACCAATTACTTTCACTATATTCCTTCTGTTGGAAACACTTAAGGTGTTTTCTTTTTTCTGGCTGAATACAAATTGACTTTATTCTTTTGTATGCACTTTTAAGAGAATTTGTGAGTATGCATTGTAAAAACACAGGAAGTATTTTCATTGTTTAGAATAGAATGAGAAAAGACAATTTTGAAGCAGAAAAGGGCATAGGCCCTATCTTTAAGGTCTTTTCTACTTCTTCCTTATGTATATTTCCTAATGACACCTGAAGAAAGAAGCAATATTCAACTGAGTGAAGTAGTCAAGCTTTGATTCAACAGGCTATATTGGACTATTTTCTTTTTTTCCAGGGAAAACTACATATAATAACCAGTTTTAACTGGAACTCATCAGAAGCACATAAATGACACATATTTCTTGTTGAAAAGGAAGAAAACTGGATCTTAGTGCTTACAGTATTGTCTGATTTGAGACACACTGTCCTGGCTGAGTTAAATTATCTTTGCAGACAATTTTTTTTCTTGTATAGTTTTAAGACAAAATATAAAACCTCACACATGCAAACAGAAACAGAAACTCTAAATACATATGCACAGATGTCTGGTCCTTCCCATTGCTCAGCCCAAGCTGAGGTGAGTAGGGAGCACTGCAAGCTAAGAAAAGCCACAGCAGGAGGAGACCATCTAGTCATCAGTTAAATCAATTCTACAAATAGTTGCTCCCTAGGGTGGGCAAAAAAAATATGCCAATTAGTATTTTCTAAAGGTTGAAAACTCAGGGCCTTTTGATAATAAATAGAACCAAACATGTTCTTAAAGTTGTAAAAATAAAAAGCAACATTATTCAAAGGAAAACATTAACAAGCCAACAAGCCTAAAATATTTTCTTATTCCCTTATACTTCTGAGCCAACTGGTCTCTGTCTCTCCTTTAGCTCTCAATCCGTATTTGCTGAATTAACACATCTTGAGCCTTCCCATGGGGCTTATTATTGTTATATTTCCTTTTTTGTTCAAATATTTGGGATCAGTTGGTACACTTAGAAGAATAGGAAATTTTAAAGCAGAAGAATTTAGGCCTGCAATCTAGAACCACACACCACAATGAGAAAGTTAATTCCAACAATTTTTGTCCATTTACTGAAACATATAACAAGGACAAGTTGGGTCAACCTAATCCCATTGTGTTTTTGAAAGAAATATTAGTCATCTAACATTTTAGGACAATATTGTTTATTACTTTCTCAGGTTTCAGCACCTAAGCAATGTTCTGGAAGTGTTTTATCACCTTTGGCAGAGACATTGTCGGTGCTCTGCCTGTATCACCTCAACACCATTTCAGTGGACAACTTGACATCTGATATCCAACCACCAGAACCTGCATTTATCTGTGTGAATTTTCCTTGACACTGGACCCTGCTTTTCCAACCCTTATGCCAGATCAAAACAACAGGGAATTCACACACCCCAGGAGTAGCTCTCAACAAACCAACTTCTTTTGGGGGGGATATATCTGAGGAATTATCAACAGTCCCCAGAGGGATAAGAACTAGTCAGCTGTGGTGATACTTTGCTTGTTAATGCACCCTTTATTGTCCACTTTCAATACCTTGGGTCACTGCTCCCCCTTCTCAATGTTTCCTTTACCCACAATTTGCATTCAAAATCTTATCTCAGGGGCTGCATCTAAAGAAACCCAAACTGAAACAAAACCAAATCATTTTTCAACTCTGGGGGAATATCAGCTGGTCTCAACAAAGTGGACCTGTAACAGAACCCCTGGGTTCTATTGCTCTAGGTTCTATTCCCCACTGCCAATAAGAACCATGACTCCCAATTCCAGGTCTTATGAAAAGGAAAGGCACTATTTATTTAAAAGTTACACAGGTTTAGAATAATGGCAGAATTCTTCCATTAAATCCCACTCACTTTAGAAACAAAAAAACACCTACAAGCACACAGCCATGCCACCCCCTTGCCAAAACAGGCCAGAGGTACCATCTCTCAGGAAAATAAATGGAAGTCTGTAGCTTAGCTGGGAATATTCCCATCTGTATTCTGGCTTCTTCCAGCCATCCATGCTTGGCTAGCCAGGCTCCTCCTCTTAATCCAAAAACACATCCTCATGGTGGGCCGGGGAATCCTTCCTCATCCATTCAAATTGTGTGGCCAAGCCCCCACACTGCTTCTACATGGTCACAGGCTTCTCCTTCCCTGGCCACACGGTCAAGAGTGCAATGGCTGCCCCACACCTGGGTTTAAATTCCAGTGTGGATCTTCCTCTGTAACCCCATTTCTGACTCCTCCCATACTGAGTTACACCAGCTGGTAGTCTGGTTTCTTCAGCCTTTTTTGGCTGCCACTGTTAGTCTAGGCAAGCGTGGCCCTGTAACATAGAGCTATCTGCCTTCCTGCTCTCACTCAGGTGCAGGAAGCCCCTCGGCTACATACATCCATCAGGGATTAGAGTCATGTCCATCTCCCTGGTTCTGAGGAGACACAGTCACTTAACATGACTAAACACTGACCAAGTTCTTCAGATATGCAAAGCAACTCTCAATGGCCCTGCTCCACTTCCCTCATCCCCCAAGCAATAACTGTGGGGACTATGGGATTTTGGGAGAAACTTCTATCTTAGTACCCCATTACAAATCTGCCTCACGTATATTTTCCCGGGAGGAATCAGGTGAATAAAGCTTCAGTGACAAATAGAGAAAACAGCAGTTGCAGCAATACTTCATGTTTCTGTGCTCTGCTTCCTCTCATATTCAGCACATCTGGTTCACCTAATCAGGGCACCTGTGGGCACAATGATATAGAAGTCCCACATTGAAAATTAAGAAGAAAAAGTGCCCAGAAACAAAGGCCATAGATATCCCACCATTGTAGTTATAATTGGCATCCTCACTTACTGATCAACATTGTTTTTTCATTTATTAGTTTGCCAATTAAGATGTAAGTGAATTATGAAAAGATTATATTCTTTCCAGAGCATTATGATGATGCAATTTTTGTTTCTTTGACTATAGAAAACTAAAAATTAGATTGAAATTAGAACCAATTTAGTTGACTTTCTATAATCTCAAGCAGTGAACTATAAAATGATTGTGATAGAAGTATATTTGTTGCATCTGACTCATGGCATCATACTGTTGTTTTGGAGGCAAATATGTTATCTTTCCAAATACAGTTTTGTAGCTGATTTTAATAGACTTTACACAGTGTATTGACTTCCAAAAGTAAGGTGTCTACATGTCGAGATTGCACTTCTGTTGTTAGCTTCTAAACTTTTCCATATTTACCATCTTCTCCACATAATGCACCATTACACAGTACCATAAAAAGTAGTTATTTGCTGTGGAGAGTTACTTTAACTTTTGTGTTTGGATTGCAAATTAGGTGTAGGCAAATGTAAAGAAACAAAATGTTAACTTATTGAGAGAAACAATTAATAATCTATTTTCGTTGCTTTTGGGAAAACATAAACAAGCTCTGAATTAAGGAGGCATTATTTGGTTGAAAAAAATCGTGAAGATAGTAAATTGGTGTTTCCATTGTTTTTGTTGTCTAAAGTCCTCATTGATCAAAGAGAAAAACCATATCATTGACAAATGAATGCTATGAACTTTTAAGACAAGTACCGTCACACCAACTGTGAACTATCCAAGTCAAAAAGGACATTGTATCTCTGTCTTTTTTGACTTGGTTACAAATCGTTGATGAACATAGAATCTAAAATCCTCAACAAAATATTGGCAAACCACATCAAGCAATATATTAAAAAGGGGGGGGATTGTAATGAGAGAAGAGTAAAGACAAGAGGGAACTTTAAAGGTGTGTAACCACTCTGCTGTGCTCTCTCATTGTTTCCATATACTCAGTAATGTAAAGAAAGCAGAAGCATAGAGCCTGTGATAAAACAAGAAAACAAACAGATTATAATGACAAAGTGAAGAGGGAAAGAATCCACTGTCACAGAGAACCTCACAGTGCTTAATTTCAATTTAAGGGGTTACTTAAATGCGTGGTCTATGGAAATTTAATATGTTATGGCTCATCTGAATTTAGATGGCCCCAAGCTGCGATAATCAACTTTTCAATGTCAGACTCATTTACTCCTCGAAGAATCCTGAAATAGCCATTCTCTCCCCATGACTTCCCCCAGGAATTGGCAGCAATCTGAAAAAAAAAAAAAAAAAAAGGTAAAAGCTGAGTATCATACTTGGATATTTTTAAATTCTGCCTGTAAAAACAAAGGGGACTCTAGATAGCTTTAAATATCATTAGGTTTATTATAAATTGTAATTAAGAACTTATATATTTTCTAAATAAAAATAAAAGTTATATTATTCATCAGTTAGATTAATATACATGTATATTTATGTTGGCAATAGCCAGAATTGGTGTAATACCTCTGAGTGTCCCAGAGGACAACAATAACACATGCATGAGAGCTTGAAATGCCACATCAGATACTGCTACAGTGTTTACTGTATGAGTAGCCCAGTGATAGACACTTGAGAAACAAAGATGGATAATGTATTATCCTGTGTTTAGGGAGTTTATGGTCTAATGAGATGTGACCAACATAAGGCAAGTGCTAAAGCAGAACTATGCAGAGGGTGTTCTTAAAGTCAGCAGAGGGAAACCTCACTTATTTGGATGGTTCAAGAAAGTTGTCATGGGGGAAAATCCCACACAAGATGCATGTTTAAAGCTTGAGCATAAATTAACCAGACCAAAAAAAGAAGCAGGGGTGATTCAGGAAAAACAAAAAAAAAGAGCATAAACACCAAAGCATGAAGCAGTATGAAGCAATGAAATGAAGTAATGATACTGTTATAAATTTAGGTCATAAAATACAAGCAGATGATAGCCTATGAGGCTGGAATGTGAGGTAAGGAAATCTATCCTGAAAAACTAACAGTGAAAATGATATCATGTTTTAGAGATGCTTTCAGCAGGAGAGCAAGCTGGGCAAAAATAACAACAATAAAAAGTATTTTGATTGCATTATTTTATAGAAAATGAGATGAATGGATTTAAGAAGGCTGACTCAAGAGGAAGGGAAACTAGCTAGTAAACTTGTCATAATTAAGTTGGAAGGTTTAACAGAGGCAGGGAAAATAGAATAACAGACAAATGTTGAGAAAGTAAAATTTATAGGAACTATGAATTTCCTTTCATTTTTTTATTTTTACTTTTTAAATAGGAGGGTAGGTCCAGCATGTCTTCTGGGTTTAGAGCTTGAGGGAATAAGTGTACATAAAAGCAAAAGCATTAATGCAGTATATAAAAAACATGAAGCCAATAGGGCACACAGAAGAGATTCAGCTGACCATAACTAAATGCAACAGAAAAGCACAATAAGATAGCACTGAAATTATTCATGGGATTTGGTAAATTAGGGACTTCACAACAATAGCTTCTACACTTGCCTCACATTCATCCTACTCGGGCCTAAAATGGAACTTTTTCTCAGATGTGGTCTACGTTGATATTCTCAAGGCATACAATGTTGTAGTGAGATTTTCATGTTTTCTACCATGTAAGAGAGGGCAGATTCACTCAGCATCAAAACTGTTAGCTTTAAGAAAAAACCGGCCCTTGCTGGTGTGGCTCACTTGGTTGGAGCATCGTCCTGTACACTGAAACCTTGCAGGCTCAGTTCCTGGTCGGGGCACATACCTAGGTTGCAGGTCAATCCCTGAGTCACAGAAGGTATGTAAGGCAACCAATCGATGTTTCTCTCTCAATCGCTCTCTCTCCCCCACCCCTCTCAGCCCCTCTCCCTCTAAAAGCAATGAAAACATGTTCTCAGGTGAAAGTAAAAAGAAAAAAAAGAAAAAACTGATTCTTAGATTTGAATTTTTCAAGAGTTGAAAAAGGAAAGCTTTTTTTCCTAGCTTTACTGTGATATCATTGAAATATAAACATGCAGGTTTAAGGTTTAAAATGTGATGTTACACATATATATTGCAGAATGATTATCACAATAGTTAGTTAACAGCTCTGTTTTTTCATGTTTATGATATTTGTCTGTATGTGGTGATAACATTTAAGATCTACTCTCTTAGCAGCTTTCAGATGTATAAGGGGGACCCACCAGAAAAACCCTAAATTATCTTCTAGAAGAAGGGCTCCTTGAGTGTTGTAGGAACCCAACTGCAACTGTATCAGTGTACCAGCTGGTGTTGTGAGAGGCTGCATTTGGCTTCAGTGAATTCTTTTTTTAAGATAATGCATTTGCCCATCTCATGAAGGGTGATTTATGAGCACACCTGCCCACATCACACTGAGTGTTCAACAGTTTTTGACCAAAGTATGGCATGATCCCCATGCCCCACCCTCCCTAGTCACCTGATCTGGCCCCAAGTGACTTTTTGGTTCCCCAGATGAAAATCGTCCTCACAGGGAAATGTTTTGCCCACGTGGAAGAGGTGAAACAAAAATGACAGAAGCGGTGAAAGGCATCAAAATCAACAAGTTCAAAAACTGTTCTGAGCAATGGAAAAAAATGTCTTCATAGGTGTATTGCATCAAATGGAGAGTACTTTGAAGGTAACTGAAGTTTAAACATGTAAGAATAAATACATAATTCTTTATAAATAAAATCCATTTATTGGGAGTCCACCCTTGTGTAGTATATATGAGTATATTAGTATATATGAGTATATATAATCATATGATTATGATTATGATTATAGTTGTCATGTTGTGCATTCAATCCCCAGATCTTATTTACCTGCTAGTCAGTAGTTTGTACGCTTTGACCAACATCTCCCCATCTCCCCTAACCCCAAGACCTTGGCAACATTCTCTTCTCTATTTCTGAGTTCAGCTTTGAAAAATTCTTCATGTGAGAAAATATGATATTTTTCTTTATCTGTCTGACATTTCACTTAGCATAATGTCCTCAAGGCCCATCCATGTTGTCACAAAAGCAGAATTTTCTTCTTTAAGGCTGAATAACATTTCATTGTGCAATGTACAGGACAGGGCAAAAGGAGGTTTACAGTTCATATGAAAATAATACAAAATTCATAAATAATAATACAAGAATGAACTGTGTTTCATGTGCTCACAACTATAAACCTACTTTTGTCCCACCTTTATACACCCCACCTTCTTAATCCACTTACCTACTGATGGACACTCAGGGCGTTTCCGTGCCTTGGCTATTTGAATGGGGCTGCAATAATCAGGGGGGTACAGACATTTCTTCATTATTCTGTTTTCGTTTCCTTTGAATATATACCAATAAGTGGAATTTTACTTTCACCATATGGTAGTTTTATTTTTAACTTATTGAAAAGCCTCCGTACTGATTTTCAAAGTGGCTACACCAATTTACACTCCAACTATGCACAAGGGTTCCCTCTTTCTACATCCTCATCAGCACTTGTGTCTTTCCTTTTTGCCAGTAGACATCCTACCAGGTGTGAGGTGATATCTCAGTGTGATTTTGAGTTCCATTTTCCTGACGGTTAGTGATTCTGAGCACCTTTTCACATACCTGTTGGCCATTTTTATGTTTTTTGAAAAATGTCTTCAAATCCTTTGCTGAGTTTTTAATCAGGTTGTTTAGTCTTTTGCTATTGAGTTCTATGAGTTCCTTACAGATTTTGAATATTAACCTTTATCATATATACAGTCTGCAAACATTTTTTTCCCATTCTATCGGTTGCCTTTTATTTTGTTGATTGTTTCTTTGGTTGCACAGAAGCTTTTTAGTTTGATGTAGAATTTTGTATTTGTTGCTTGTGCTTTTGGTATCTTATCCAAAATATCTTTGCCAAGAGCAATGGCAAGTAGATTTTTTTCCCTATGTTTTCTTCTAGGAGTCTTACAGTTTCCAGTCTTACCATTAAGTCTTTAATCCATTTCAAGTTAATTTTTGTGGGTAGTACAAGATAGGGATCCAAATTCATTTTTCTGTATGCGGTTAATCAGTTTTCCCAAAACCACTTATTGAAGAGACTATATTTTCTCCATGTATTCTCTTGGCTTTCTTCTCAAGTATTAGTTGGTCACATATCAGTGGTTTTATTTCTGGGCTCTCATTCTCTGCTATTGGATTATGTATATTTTTTTATGCCAGTGTCACTCTGTTTTGATTACTACAGCTTTATAGTAATATTTGAAATCAGAAAGTGTGAGACCTCCAGCTCTGCTCCTCTTTCTCAGCATTGCTTTGGCTATTCAAGGTCTTTTGTGGTTTTGTATGAATTTTAGGATTGTTTTATCTATTTCTGTGGAAACAGTCATTGAAATTCTGATAGGGATGCATTGAATCTATAGAAGGTTTTGGGTTGTATGGACATTTTAACAGTATTAATTCTTCCAGTCCATGATCATGGGGTAGTCTTTCATTTATTTACTTCTTCTTCAATTTCTTATAATTTTTAGTATAACTCCTTGGATAAATTTAGTCCGAAGTATCTATTTATACTATTATAAGTAGGACTTTTTATTATCTCTTTTTAGATACCTTGTTGTAAATGTGTAAAAATGAAATTGATTTTTGCATGTTTATTTTGTAACCTGTAAATTTACTGAACTGTTATTAGTTCTAATAGTTTTTGATGAAGTCTTCAGGGTTTTCTATATATAAAATCATATCATTTGCAGAGATAGCTTCACTTTTTCCTTTCCAATTTGGATGGGTTTTTTTTTTAATTTATTTTCCTTCCTTAATTGCACTGGTTAGGATTTCCAGTACTACACTGATTAGGGGAAGTAAGAGTAGGCATCCTTGTTTTGTTCTTGATCTTAGCAGAAAAGCTTTTGGCCTTTCATTATTGAGTATAATGTTTGCTGTGGGTTTGCCACATATGGCATTTATTATTTTAAGATATGTTTTTTCCTATACCCAATTTTCTGAGTACTTTAATATAAAATGATGTTGAATTGTGTCAAATTTTTTTTGTATCAATCAGTTGAAATGATTATATGAATTTTATCTTTCATTTTATTAGTATGGTGTATCACATTTATTGATTTTCATATGTTGAACTATCTTTGCATCCCAGAGATAAATCTAACTTGCTCATGATATATGATCCTTTCAATGTACTGATGAAATCAGTTTGTTAGTATTTTGTTGATAATTTTTCTATATTCATCAGGGATATTTGGTCTGTAGTTTCTTTTTTTTTCCAGCGTCCTTATCTGGCCTTGCATAAGGTTAATTCTGGTCTCCTAAAAGAAATTTGGGAGTATGTCTGTTCTTCAATTTTTTTGAAAGAGTTTGAGAAGAATTGGCATTAATTCTTTGTTTCATATTTAGTAGAATTCACCAGTAAAACCATCTCATCTTTGGCTTTTCTTTATTAGGAAGTTTTTGAGTGCTGATTTAATCTTCTTACTCGTTGTTTTATTAAGGTTTTTTATTTCTTCATGATTCAGCCTCAGTACATTGTATGTTTTTAGGAACTTATCTATTTAATTTAGGCTATCCAATTTGTTGGGGAAATGTTGGCCAAAGAGTACAAACTTCTAATTATAAGATGGATAAGTTATGTGGATTTAATATACAGCATGCAGATTATAGTTAACAATAGATATTGTAATTTTGAAAGATGGTCAAAGAATATATCTTAAATGTTCTCACATACATACCACAAATGATGACTATATGAGGTGATGGATGTGCTAGCAAACCTCATTTTGGTAAGCATTTTGTAATACTTAATGTATATAAAATCATCACCTTATACACATTAAACTTAAACTTACTTCAAACTCTCCTGACACACAAATTGTATTTATAAAATAAAAATAGGGAATATTTGCTTTCACTTCTTCCAGAAACACTTTGTCTTCACACACTGAGAAAATTATATCTGTAACCACTTGTCTAGTTAATTGATCCGATCCCAAAGGATAATAAAATTTTTCTTATCTCCCTTTATATAAATAATTGACATGGCATAAATACTGTAAGAATACAAAGTTGATTGACATATATGAGAGAAGTCTAACCATTAAATTTAATATAGATAACAATAGAAAAATACTATTTTTTTTTACAATTTGACATGAGTAGTTGAGAAAAACTATTACTATAATATTAATGATTACAATGAGTTTCATGTTGAAAAATATGCCAATATTACAAACAATAGTGACTTAGGATGTGACTAAATAATAGAAATCAGGGAGTAAAGAGACACACACAATTCTAAAACATTCACTTCACAGTAGAAATTCAATTAGGGTTACATACCCAAAATTTTTCTTTCCGCCCCTGGGCTCCTTTTAGCGTGCCCCATCTATAAGTAATAATAATAATAATAAGTTGGCATGATTATAAATGTTTCACTTGCATCTTGATAAAATGGATAAAGAAGCTGTGGTACATATATACAATGAAATATTATTCAACCATAAAAAAGAATAAAAGCTGGCCATTTTTAAGAACATAGATATATCTAGATAGTATTATGCTAGTGAAATAGGTCATACAGAGAAAGGCAAATTCTTCATAATTTCAGAGATTTAACAGTACTTAAACATTCTTCTTTTATTTATATCTAGCCCTCTGAATCTCCACATAATGGTATACATTACAAATAACCAAGACTAGTGATAAGAAAAAACAATGTCAGTACAGATTGTTGTTGTAGATAATTTATGTTAAAATATTCATATGTATAATTATTTTATAAAGTGGCTATGCATCTAATGTGGAGGGTTTTTTATACATGTGTATTTATGGAAATAAAATTCTAAATTCCCAGTACTGGCTCATTTTCAGTGTAGCATATAACAGTTCATAAATAACCCAAACCTATGATATTTCACTTCTTTCCTCTTGACTAAACCCAGTGAGGTAGATGTTAATAACATTCTCTATTCAATAATGAAATAACATAGAGTAGGAAATGTTGAATCAGAACTCTAAATCTCATGTTCTTCTAAATATGTTCTACTGCTTCTCTTACAATTATAGAGTCCCCAATGACAGTGTGTCTTGAACAGTATCACTTTAATGTTGAGAAAGCATATTGACTACTACTTTCATGGGATTTAATGGATTGTGAGAACATAGTTGTGTTCACATGTCACCCCATCAATCCGTCCCTAATATTCCAAATCCCAGCATCAGAGCTCACATCAAGTCATGATATGCCAAACATTCCTGGAAGAGACACAAATTTGTTGTTCAAGTATTTTTACCATGTAAGTTTGCAGAAAGTTATTTTATTTTCTTTAGGGTACAGAATATACTAGTGGTACCATGGCATGGATGTGTTGCCTAAAGATGACAGGTTTATGGTACAGATCTTGAGGCATTTGGGAAAATATTTTAATACATGGGGATCCTTTGGCATGACAGTGAGGGGGAAAGGTGATCTGGGTGAAAGAAAACACTAAAGAACAATTTTTCTTTCTCTTGTTCTTGACAGAGGCAAGGATAGTAATTTCACTCATTGCCATGTCTCTTTTAGTTCTCCGCTACAGGCAGGGGTAGACAGGAACACTTTACAGTTTCAAATATCTGGGCAGTATAATGAATAAGTTTAAACTGATTCAATTCCCAAAACCATTTTTGTAGTTTGTAATTGCACTTACATTCTTTGAAATTTTTCTAAAAAACCATCACCATTGAAAAAAAATTATCAGACATATATGTACCTCCAAATCTTTAAAAGACATTATATACTTCAAGTAGATGATCATATCTGAAACTTCAAGTCACTCGCTTCTGCTCACTTATCATGGCTATCAATACAATTCAAAAGCCTTTACAACTCAATCAAAATTTCTTTAGATGGTCTGGCTACTAGTTACCTAACATAAAATACAAGAATAAATCAGAATAATTTAAGGAAACATTTAACTCTGAAACTATACAGGCAACAGAGGAAGGCCATATCTGAGATCCTACCAGATCTGGCAAGATGTTGGGAGTAGACTTGCTTGAGGCACTAGGAGCCTCCAGTTAAGAACTTTCAGTCAAGAAACACATATTCAGACATATCAGTCTTGATTCAGTAAATAAAACAATCAAAAGAGAGGAGGGGCAATTGAGAATATCATTTGTTCCCTGTTATTCAGAGCTATCCAAACTCAGCTCTCACACTGCAGTCAGGAAAATTCAAAGTTGAGGAAAGCAGAAATCAGACTTGTTATTAAAACATGACAGAGATATTTTATGAAAAACTCTATGTATTCAATTAAAAAACCTTTAAGAACTGTCAGGTAGAAGGCAACACTAAAAGATAGAAGTTTCTTTGTAATATCTTTCAAACTTCTTAGTCTCCAATGCATTGAGGATGGTGCATGGGAAAATAAGGAAGTATTCAACAAAGGGGACAGAAAAGACATACAAGAAAAATACACCATGAAATATATGTTGCATTTATTAATCAGACTATTTCAGATACCCCTGGAGACTCTCATAAATATTGAGACTATGTTTGGGAATGTGAAGATCTAAAATTGTACATGGAGTTAACATTTAGCAAAATAATGACTACACATCATTCTATAACTGACAGATTAGAGACCAACTAATTCTAAGAAAACAGAACATTTCCTCACAGAGGAAAAGAGGCACTTCAGATTATAGTTGTATAGTTTTTCTTTTTCTAGTATCACCAAATAAATTATAAATAAAATAAACTACCTTACTTTGGAGACATCTAAATAATATAAACTATCTCTTTTACTTGTTTTGTTCAATTGCCTATATTTTTCATATATTCCTGTAAGTTTTGTTATGATTATCTAAATGAAATTTTCAGTGATAAAATAGACAGCAATGATTCTAATCTTGCAAATCTATCAACTCTTTGGAGAACTGTAATTTTTTCTTTCAAAGAGCGTTGCTTTTTTAAATACCAATAATGAACTCTCAGAAAAAGAAACTAAGAAAACAATCTGATTTACCACTGTGACAAAAAAATAAGGTACCTAAGAATTAACTAAGAAGGTAAAAGACCTGTGCTCAAAAAACTACAGGACATTGAAGAAAGAAATAGAGGAACACACAAACTACTGGAAGCATATACTGGGTATTTGGATTGGAAAAATTAACATTAAAACATCCATAGTACCCAAAGCAATCTATAGATTCAACATAATTCCTATTAAAATACCAATGGCATATTTCACAGATCTAGAACACTTATTCTAAAACTTATATAGAACCAAAAAAGTCATTGAATAGCTCAACAATCTTGAGAAAGAAGAACAAAGTTGGAAAGATCACAATACTTAATATCGAACATATACTACACGACCATTGTAACCAAACAGCATGGTATAGGCACAAGAACAGGCATATAGATCATTGGAACAGAACAGAGAGCCCAGAAGTCAACCCATGCCTTTATGGTCAATTAGTATTTGACAAAGGGGGCAAGAGCATACAATGGGGTAAAGACTGTCTCTTCAATAAATGGTGTTGGGAGAACTGGACTGGTACATGCAAAAAAGAAAAAGAAAAAAGAAAAGAAAATGAAACTAGACCACTTTCTTATACCACATGCAAGAATAAACTAAAAATAAATTAAAGACAAATTTAAGTCACAAAACCATAAAAATCCTACAAGAAAATATAGTCAGTAAATCTCAGACATCTTGTGTAGCAATATTTTGCCAATATATCTCCTAGGACAAGGGAAACAAAAGAAAAAAATAAACAAATGGAACTATATCAAACTAATAAGCTTCTGCACAGCAAAAGAAACTACCAACAAAATGAAAAGGGAACCCACTGAACTGGAGAACATATTTACCAATGATACATCTGATAAGGGGTTAATATCCAAAACATATAAAGAACGTATACAATTCAACACCAATAAAATAAACAATCCAATTTAAAAATGGGCAGAAGACCTGAGTAAACACTTCTCCAAAAAGGATATGCAAGAGGACAATAAACATACAAAAAAATCCTCAATGCCACTAATCATCAGAGAAATGCAAACTAAAACTGCAATGAGGTATCACTCCAAACATGCCAGAGTGACTACCATCAATAGATCAAGAAACAAGTGCTAGTGAGGATGTGGAGAAAAGTGTACTGCTGGTGGGAATGCAAACTGATACAATTGCTTTGGAAAAACGAAAGAAGTTTCCTCAAAAAATTAAAAATGGAAACTGCCATTCAACTCAGTGATCCCACTTCTGGAAATGTATCCTAAGAATTCTGAAACACCAGTAAGAGAGAATATATGTACCCCTATGTTCATAGCAGCGTTATTTACAATAGCAAGATGTGGAAACAACCCAAGTGCCCATCAGCAAAGTAGTTAAAAAACATGTCGTACATTTATACAAAGGAATACTACACAGCCGTATAGGAGAAGCAACGCTAACCCTTTGCAACAACATGGATGGACCTGGACATTACTATGCTAAGCAAAAGAAGTCTCCCACAGAAAGACAAATATCATAGGATCTTGCTCGTATGTGGAATCTAATGAACAAAAGAAACTGACAAAATAGGACCATAGGCATGAATCCATGAAACAGATTGACAGGTCTTGGAGGGGAGGGGTGTGGAAGAAACTGGAAAAGATTAGCCAAAGAACATAAACGCATATATGCATAGCCCATGGGCCAGACAACAATGTGGTGAAGGCTTGTGGTGGGGGGCTGGGTAGGGAGGGCAAAGCGTGGTAAAATGGGAAAATCTGTAATAGTGTTAAAAATAAAAAAGAAGCATTGCTGTTTATTAAAACTTTAAGATGCATTATTTAAAATACCAGTTATTTTTAACCCAGAGAGAATATCAGCATTCACATTATTATAAAACATCTCAAAATGGAGAGAAAAACAAATTAAGTCTTTAAATAGGGTGAGAGAGGAAAAGTAAAGAAAGGCTGTTAAGTCTGATAATTTCAGAGCCTAGGATGCTTGTGAAAGAAAATTGCAAAGGGTATTAACTTTTATGTAAAATTCAGATGGAAAGAAAATATCACACCTCACCATAGAAGCTATTGTGCACTTCCCGTATGTTATATCTTCTGTGTGAAATGACAAGCGAAGTGCTAGGATCTAACCTGGAACCATGAACTTCAGTTAACTCATCTCTCCACTATCTTCTCTAGGAATTTCCTAAGATGGTAATAAAATATCCCATAGCGTCACAATGGGGTGTTGTAGAAAAATAGACCTGTGTGTTGTTTTCTCAGTATCCCATGCTCTGAAAGACTAAGAAAAATCACTTTACCCTAGGTGATTTCCCATTTATCATAGCACAGTCATGTAAAAAACTTTGTGAGAGTCTAGAATGAGTCGCCCAAGATGTGCCTCT